ATAATAATAATAATAATAATAATAATAATAATAATAACAATAATAACAATAATAACAATAATAACAACAATAACAATAACAATAACAATAACAATAACAATAATAATAATAATAATAATAATAATAATAATAATAATAATAATAATAACAATAACAATAACAATAACAATAACAATAACAATAACAATAACAATAACAATAACAATAACAATAACAATAACAATAATAATAATAATAACAATAATAATAATAATAATAATGATGGTGATTGGTAAAACTGTACTCATAGGGACCCCTAAATTGATTATATATATACTCCTACAATGAAACACATACAGATACAAGACAAACAAAAGATACCAATGGATGCAGCACCTGGTTAAAAAAATAATAACAATATTCTGGCATACATGTACTTCAAAGGCATGCAACACAGCCTACATACATTCAGCTAATTAGCTTTGTGGCAATTCATGATCCGATGAAGAGAAAAAGTTTCATGAAGCATGAACAGTTTTAAAATAATTACTTGGCATGGCTGGACATGACTGAATATAAATGTAAATATATCCCTTTGTATGAGTGAAATCTAAAATTGCCTATCAAAGTCCCTTTCACTCAGTGCTAATTAGCAAGGCAGAATGAACAGAAGCCAGAGTATTAAGGGATTTGCAGGGGATACATTGTGGTGATGAGGGTGGTGATCGCTGTGGTGGTGGTGTGAGTGGTTGTGTGTGCTGTGGTAGTGTGGGTAGTTATGGCTGTGGTGGTGAGGGTGGTGATGGCTATGGTCATAGGTGGTGCTGGCTCTTTGGTGACAGTGATAATGGATATGGTGGTGTGATACAGAAATAGAAAGAATTACAAGGGGTATTTTGTTGATTCATGGGCAGCTGGAATTGGGAAACAGATGAGCAATGCATCTATGAAACTGAATTGATGTGAGAAAATAAAAATGACACAGTAATATCATCATGAAAAAAAGTTTCAGAAAAAGGAACATATTCCATGAAAATCCTTTATATCATTTCTTACATAATGACATTAGTCCTTGTACATGATCATCACTATTCATTCAAGCTAATCTATAAACTAAAATACCAATAATATAATATGTACATACAAATCAAATGAGCCAGAGTATAAATCATAATGCATTCCATTCCTATTCAGACTATTTCATTTTATTAACGAGTAAATGTAACAAATTTATTGCCTCATTGTTTACTGTATGTAATAGAGGCCTATATTGCAATCAGAATGATAGATCCTTGAGAAATATTTTTATAAGGAAAAAACAATAATATCAAACAAAAACAAAAATTATATTTACACAGTTCATCATTGTGAGCACCGCTTTATAATGACACCTTCAAAAATTCTGAATGAAGAATGGTGATATTAAATAAACTTGTTATTTGGATAGCAAGAAGTCTTAGTATATAACAGATACATCAAAAAGTGATAAAATTACTATTTTCATTAATCATATCATTGTCTAAGATTCATATTAAAAACACTAAATGTGAACATTTTGAAAAATCTTACTCTCTAATGATACACTTATATGCAAGCATTATAAACGAACATTACTAAAAACTTTTACTGAAATGTTCCAAAGGGTATACATACTTACCTGATTTAGTGGTTCAACTTTTCTAGATTGAAAAATTAGCAATGTGCGGCAGACATTTCTTCTGCTCAGTCGATATATGGGACGCAGCCATAGATGCACATTTTGAGTCAAGCTTCTCATAATTAGAACACCATGTTCAGATTTCAATTAACTCACAAGGTGGTCACACAAATTGCCGAACGTCTGAAATCATATAAAAAAAAATTACATATTGTTCCTATGTGAAAAAAATGAACATATACTAACCAATGATGTAATATTGAAAAAAATTAAAGGAAATGCAAATATCCAAAACTGCAGCATCTCTGACTATCAAAACACCTCTGGCCTGTCACCTTGCTAAATTCATCATCTAATTTCAATATAGTAACCATTGCTGTAACATGACCCTTTCATTCCAGTAATAAGAGTATAAGTGCATATCTTTGAAGAAAAAAAGTATACATTTTAACCCATTGCTGACGGGGAAAATGAATATAAAATGGGGGAAATGCTGTGCTCATTTTTTATATTTACTAGTGCTATGAATATCGATGGTGTTATTTTTATTATAAAAATTATAATGACTCTAATGTTATAAACATTAATAACAGAAAAATAAGATAACATAAAATGTTTATGAAAATTAAAGAAAAGGGTAAACGGGCGAGACAGGCAGTACTCGTAATTGGCTCATTGGTGATTTAGTACAAGTGTAGCCATCTATGTGTAAAAACAATCAAATAAGTAATCTCACAGTGGGCATGGCATGGCAAGCCCGTCAGCAATGGGTTAATAAATCCAGAATGAATTATGGCCTATGGATATGATAGGTGCCTCAAGCGAGCGCTATTACACAAAACGCTCGGTTTCCTGGTCTTAATAAAATAAAAACTGATTAAAGCAAAGCCTAAAATCTCTCTCTCTACACTTTAACTTTCTCTTATATAAAATCTAAGTACACCCACTTCCGCCCTCAAGCACAAAGCACGCCCACAAACTTGTGAAAAGAACTTCCCTCTCCGACTGTCACTTATCCTTTTTTCTATGGTCATTTATTACTTATATATTTTTTTTTTCTAAATGAAATGTACATTATTACAAATTCACTGATAAACGTCAGCGCATTAAATCACCAAAGAATCTTAAGCAAATATATGTAAACATACTTTCTGCTGCCCATCTGAGGTTTTCAAATCTCACGTTGTTTACATTTGGTTGAGGGAAACGAGGCCAATATATGTTGACATAAGAACGTATTTCGTATATAAATAGTTAGCATTATAAATTGATGTGATATAGGTTACGTATCACACACACACACACACACACACACACACACACACACACACACACACACACACACACACACACACACACACACACACATATATATATATATATATATATATATATATATATATATATATATATATATATATATATATATATGTATATATATATATTTATATATATATATGTATATATATATATATATATATATGTATATATGTATATGTATATATATATATAAATATTCACACACACACACACACACACACACACACACACACACACACACACACACACACACATATATATATATATATATATATATATATATATATATATATATATATATATATATATTCACTCTCACACACACGCGCACACGCGCACACATAGGTACACGCACACATATATGTGTGTGTGAGTGTGTGTGTGTGTGTGTGTGTGTGTGTGTGTGTGTGTGTGTGTGTGTGTGTGTGTGTGTGTATGTGCATATATATATAAATATATATATACATATATATATATATATATATATATATATATATATATATATATATATATATACATTCATTTACTTATTTATTCATTTATTTGTTTGTTTGTTTGTCCATCTGTTTATACAAATAAATACATATACAGACACAGATAGATATAGACAAACAGACAGGCAGACACAATTATAGACAGACAGACAATAAACAGACACACTTACAAAGACAAACAGAGATAGATAGATATAAATGAAAAGAGGGAGGGAGAGAAAAATAGAAAGAGGAGGACCAAAAAAGAAGAGTAAAGAGTGAGAAGGAAAGAGAGAGAAGAAACCCATGCCATGGGATGAGAACATCAATGGATTATTCACATTATTTTTTTCGAAGTATCCCCTTTAATGGATCAGAAAATCAAAGAAAATGTCAGGATGGAGGTCTGACTACGTTATTTTCTTACTTTGTGATACACTTGGCTTCCTCCCTTCTCCCTCTCTCTATTCTTCTCTCCCTCTCCTTTCTCCCTTCTCCCTCTCTCTATTCTTCTCTCCCTCTCCTTTCTCCCTTCTCCGTCTCTCATCTCTCTATCCCACTCTCCTTCTCTTCTCCCTTAACGAAAACGTTATTTGAAAATGATAAGATAATATTAATGCTCTCTTTCTATCTATCTATATATCTATCGATTTATCTCTGTTTCTCACTCTCTCTCTCTCTCTCTCTCTCTCTCTCTCTCTCTCTCTCTCTCTCTCTCTCTCTCTCTCTCTCTCTCTCTCTCTCTCTCTCTCTCTTTGTCTCTCTATCTATCTATCTATCTATCTATCTGTTTATCTACGTATGTATCTCTATCTATCTATGTATCTATATATATCTTTATATCTCTCTCTCTATCTCTATCTATCTATCTATCTATCTATCTATCTATATATATATATATATATATATATATATATATATATATATATATATATATATATATATATATATCTTTATATCTATCTTTATATCTCTATCTATCTTTCTATCTATCTCTCTATCTCTATCTATCTTTCTATCTATCTCTCTATCTCTCTCTATTTATCTATCTATCTATCTATCTATCTATTTACCGAAATCCATGTGTTTGCTAGTGCACACCCGTAAATGGAAGCACAAATAGTAACTCAAGTACAAAGATAAACTGCAGCATAACCACAGCGATACGAAAAGCAGAAAGCCGTGACGTTTCGGGAAAGATTAGACTCCCCATCGGGCGATAAAACCGGATGTCTATTTCTGGCTGACCGCCTGATGTGGAATTCGAAATGTCACAGTTTACTGTTTCTTCTGCTACTGTGATTGGGCTTTTATTTCGCACACTCATAGATAAACACATACATTCTGTTTCTATCATCTCTGTCTGCCTGTCTGTCTGTATGTCTGTATGTCTGTATGTCTGTATGTCTGTATGTCTGTATGTCTGTCTATCTGTCTGTCTGTCTGTCTGTCTGTCTGTCTGTCTGTCTGTCTGTCTGTCTGTCTGTCTGTCTGTCTGTCTGTCTGTCTATTTGTCTGTCTGTCTGTCTGCCATACCCTGATGAATTCCTTTGACATCCTGTCTCTCTAAAACCTGTGAAAGGATTCTTCTCACTCGTCTGCTCTATCGGATTAAAGATCAAATTCATCCATCAGCTTTGGTTTCCAAAAGGGGAAAGGAACACAAATATATTTAGCACAGTAACTAAATGGAAGTAACGCACAGTCTTCTTACTTCATAGATTTCAGTGGAGCATTCGACACTACAATTCTCCATGAATGAACTCTTTTGGGAGTTAAGGGCAAGGTTCTGCTATGGATAAAGGATTATCTATCTTCGTGAAGAGCAAAAGCGTGGTACCAAGGCATCTACTAATCCTTATTATGAATTAGAGTTAGGTGCTTCATACTCTCAATACTCCAACCTGATACGGTCCAACCTAGAAGGCCAAAACTGCCCAAACTATTCAGTTTCAGTGTGTGGTACAATGATGCCTTTAACATAACAGAAGCAACACTTACTCCACCATGATATAGATCATATGCATTTTCATAATGACAAATTAACAGGGCCTAAACCCATGACTTCAATACCAGAATTAAAGGGCCGTTATCTAAAATATATAAATGAAACTACCCTTCATGGTACGCCCCCACTTGCAATCTACTGTGATGCTTCCACTGATCCCCATGGCGCAGCTGGGATTGGTGTATGAATTCCTGACATTGTTTTTAAAGAAACTGCGAACTTCTAATGAGGCAAGCACAACTAATTCCGAGTCAGTAGCCATATACCATGTCTCTATCTCTGTCTCTATCTCTGTCTCTATCTCTGTCTCTATCTCTGTCTCTATCTCTGTCTCTATCTCTGTCTCTATCTCTGTCTCTATCTCTGTCTCTGTCTCTGTCTCTATCTCTGTCTCTATCTCTGTCTCTATCTCTGTCTCTATCTCTGTCTCTATCTCTGTCTCTATCTCTGTCTCTATCTCTGTCTCTATCTCTGTCTCTATCTCTGTCTCTATCTCTGTCTCTATCTCTGTCTCTATCTCTGTCTCTATCTCTGTCTCTATCTCTGTCTCTATCTCTGTCTCTATCTCTGTCTCTATCTCTGTCTCTATCTCTGTCTCTATCTCTGTCTCTATCTCTGTCTCTATCTCTGTCTCTATCTCTGTCTCTATCTCTGTCTCTATCTCTGTCTCTATCTCTGTCTCTATCTCTGTCTCTATCTCTGTCTCTATCTCTGTCTCTATCTCTGTCTCTATCTCTGTCTCTATCTCTGTCTCTATCTCTGTCTCTATCTCTGTCTCTATCTCTGTCTCTATCTCTGTCTCTATCTCTGTCTCTATCTCTGTCTCTATCTCTGTCTCTATCTCTGTCTCTATCTCTGTCTCTATCTCTGTCTCTATCTCTGTCTCTATCTCTGTCTCTATCTCTGTCTCTATCTCTGTCTCTATCTCTGTCTCTATCTCTGTCTCTATCTCTGTCTCTATCTCTGTCTCTATCTCTGTCTCTATCTCTGTCTCTATCTCTGTCTCTATCTCTGTCTCTATCTCTGTCTCTATCTCTGTCTCTATCTCTGTCTCTATCTCTGTCTCTATCTCTGTCTCTATCTCTGTCTCTATCTCTGTCTCTATCTCTGTCTCTATCTCTGTCTCTATCTCTGTCTCTATCTCTGTCTCTATCTCTGTCTCTATCTCTGTCTCTATCTCTGTCTCTATCTCTGTCTCTATCTCTGTCTCTATCTCTGTCTCTATCTCTGTCTCTATCTCTGTCTCTATCTCTGTCTCTATCTCTGTCTCTATCTCTGTCTCTATCTCTGTCTCTATCTCTGTCTCTATCTCTGTCTCTATCTCTGTCTCTATCTCTGTCTCTATCTCTGTCTCTATCTCTGTCTCTATCTCT